TCAAAACGATATTAATTGTTTATTTACTCCTAGTAAATACTGATTACAATAGCTCACTGCCATTAAAATTATAACCACTCCACAACTTATTCGCATTTTTATCCATCTTTATATAATAATAATAATAATAACCAATCGCCTCGTTTCGAAGATTTTGAATATTTTCGAACAACAAACTTAAAGAGTGAAAAGGGTACTGTGAAACATTGTTCATAATACATTTAAGCATAATTATTTTAAATTCATTTTGTATTTTTTTGGATCTTTCCATTGATGTTTAGGACTGTAATTGATTAGTCTCTTATTAGCTTATATACATCCTGTGTGGATTGCCTCGATATCGTCTTAAGTCACAAGCATTATAAACAAAGGTGGATGGTGGCTGGTAGTGGAATTCGGAACGTGCGTTTTATCCTATTTTAGAATCATAGATGAATTGCCCTGCATCCCAGAGTTGACGTTTACTCCATCTTTGCTTATAATAGCTATTTTAGTGTTATTCTTAGTAGTAACAGGGTAGTTCTTGCTGCAGTATCAAGATGTGATCACACTTAAAAAGTAACTGTCCAGTTATATTTATATATATATATATATATATATATATAATATAATATATATATATATATATATATATATATATATATATATATATATATATATATATATATATATATATATATATATATATTTATATATATAACAAATGAAGTTTAATTATCAAATGTATGACACATATAAGGTAAATTTCTAAATTTCTAAGGTTTTCTGTGAGGCCAAATCTACAACCATCTGGATAAATCTGTAACTTCTTAAAACATTATTATGTTTGACAGTAAATTATGATATTTTTGAGATGAACATGAATATAAACTTGAATAATTCGAAATCGTATTCATATTATCAAATGTAAAGACTTTTAAATAAGTTTCGCACACAGAAACAAGGGATAGTAATAATTATCATTATTCGGTTTTATGTTGTGTATTTTTGTTGTTGAGATATCTTATAGAAACTAATTTAATTTGTTGATCATATTCATCATCGATTCAAGGCAGCTGGAAAATCAATAAACCATGGGCGATACTAATTGTTTTATCCCAACATGAGACTTCTCAGAAATGGACTCTCAGGACTTTATCAAATATCGTTGTCATGATCTTTAGATCTCTTAAAATGTGTCTCACTCTTAGAATACTGAGTTGGTATCCAAAAATCTAAATTTCCAAAATAAATTAAAAATAAATTTACATGGACAGTTGTTTGTTGTATCATACACAAACAATTCATCAGTGAAAAAGCTCCTTCCCTATATTTGTATATTTCTTCCAATGAGGAATGTATTTTCGAAAAAACAGAAGAGTGAGGGTGGCAAACAATCATATGAGCGAGGTGAAGTTTGTTATTTGTAGACTATCCAAAAGAATGATATACCTTATCGTTGATAAATACCTATATGTTATAATGAATTTTAAAATGTATTTTTCATCAGTAACTAGAGTTAAATAAAAAGTGGCAACCAGGGAAAAATTAGCTGGTATTTTGTTCAGGTCAGAAGAGCAGGTGAAATAAGATCTGTGTAGCTTAGTTACAAGTGATATGTTCTTAATCTACTGAGCCATCATACAATCTCTAACATTTCCCCAAATCTACATTATGATATAAGAGGCGACATTTTATCCAATTTCGTAGGTGAGTTTCTGTTTCAATCTCTCCTTGATTAGCTTACCCTAAACCACTAAATCCTGTTAGCATTTTGTGAAATTCATTCAACTTAATAAAATAATCAAACAGCTTACATTCTCTTCTTACCAATGAAGTAATCTTTCCCAAAAAGCAACTCCCATTCACAGATAATAAAATTGTCTTTTATTTTTACAAAAAAATTCATCAATTTTAAAAATTACCCTAATTATAATATTTAAAAGCAATTTGACAGAAATCAGAAGTTGCTGTGAAATGTGCAGCATTCCAATCCATGATTCCATTGCAATGAAATCTAGAAGATGAATCTTCTTAAAATACCCTAAATGTATTCAATATTTACTAAGTGTATCATACTCATCACTTTGGGATCAACTTCATTTCATTTAGTAGGAAGTGATTACTCGATGTTATCGTATAGTTTTTTATGAAAGAATCAAATTCAAGACCATATATTTGTGTTTTTCACTTAACATTTTACTTTACGCTACACTGGACATGCTTATGAAAAACAGCTGAGATTAACTACAATTTCTTGAAATGAAATATTTTATTAAAAGTGTTACCTAATTTTTCATCATTCATCCATTAAATAAATGAGAAAAGAAGACTGACGGTAATGCATATAACAAACTTAATGAATATTTAATTCTTTACGGTAATGAACTTCAGAAATTCGCTTCATATTAAAAGTATATCGAATAATATATTCTTACTTTTATTTGTGAAAAGTTTATTCCATTGAACAGAGAGGTAAATAGAGAGCTAATCATAATAACAACAGAATTGAAGGAATCATGAATTATGTAAAAGACAAATGAAAGGTGATGTGTAACTAATGCATTTAACGTATAGTTTTCATATTGTATGAAGGCATTATATAATTTTACATAAAATAATAAATTTATTCTTCCCTATCTGAATTCTCATTCACAACATTACAATTGTAAACACTAACCAAACAAGGATTAAAATGTGTAGAGAATATATAGGTGGGGAAATAATAATTTATTCTGCTAGAAATTTAACTGAGAACCTTTTTAAAATTAGGTCCATCGTTTCTTAGTATTCCATTGGGCTTTTTTTTCTCTTTTTACTGTTACTGTACGTCTTTAAAGTTATAGAAGGAAATACATAGAGAACTTTTACAAACCGAAATTTTTTTGGTTACTGAATAAACTAAAATGAAAAATGTACATCATTAGAATATCAACTTAATTGGTTTAAAGAGATTCATATCCTCAGTGACTCTTAAAGATCTACAATCTAATTCTCCATGTTAATGTATGATTATGTATACATGGTTCTGATGTTCTAACAACTAATTTCACATAATTAAAATTAACCAACACAGAAAATTGTTTTTCTCTTTTATGATCACATTTTCCATTTTAATCTATAAATTTGATTAAAACCAAAAAGAGAAGGAATAATCGATAGAAACAAAAAAGAAAAAAAAAAGAGACAATCTTACTGAAAATAGAAAATCATACATTGTAAATATGTATGTATATTTTTTTATATAAAACATTATATTGCCCTATTTTTCGAAAAAAAGAAATACAACTATACAACATCAGTTCTGAGCATTACTAGTCACGGAAAAGAAAAAGTTGTTTTTCATACACGAGAATCTTTTCTGTTTATCCCTTAGTTGACATACAGACAAATAAATAATTGAATATAAATATATATATATCTGTATTGATAAGGTATACGTTTTAATATTAAATGTAAAAATATATACAAAAAAAAGAATAGTGAAACATTCAAGAGAATGAAACCAGTAATAAAATTTTTTTTTAACAATCTAGATGAAGAATTTTAAATGCCATCTCTATCGATTGATTTTCTTTCTTTCTTTCTTTCCCCCCTCCCTTAAGTTTAAAAGAAGATTGTGATTTTCTTATTTTACAAGATAACAAATGTTATTCTGTATTACTTTTCTTTTTTTTCTCGAAAAAATCTTTCTCCGGGAAACAATTTTTCTTGTGTTCAACAATCAATAATTTCGAGTAGTTTACATGGGAATTTTCAATGATTGGAAATTTATACTTTAAAAAATTAATAATAATAATAATAATCAAGTCTTATTCATTATTTAAGAATGTAACGAGTGGTGTTAACTTGTTTGTTTTTCTTTTTTTTTAGAGATAAAAATCATGATATTCAATACATATTGAATAGTATGTTCAATGGCTTGAATAGATTTCAAAATAAATGTAACTATACTAAGATGTTATTTATCCACTTATATGAATTGGTTTAACCTTCAATTTGGACAATATAGTTATTATTATTACTTGAAAAAAGTCTATAGCAAAAATCGTTAATGAAAATTGATGAAAAAAAAAGCGTCCATTATGATGTATACTGTAATTATAATAAACTAGCGCTAAGATCAAAGTGGAATTATGTAGCTTATATCAAATACTTGTTTATACAATAATCATTTATTTATGTAAAAATTTAGTAACCTGGATAAGCTATTCGTGTTATAAGTAGTTTGATCAATAAGTTGTTATGGCAACCAATAATAATCATATTATTATTAATACTAGTTAGTCGGTAAAGCTAGTGACTAGTTTTATTAAAGAAGCTCTATGTACAATGTTTTAGAGATTGGGAACGTGATGTCATCATAATAGGAAACATATATATAAGTTAATGAGATCACTTTTCTCTCTGAAAATTAATTTTAATAGAATTGTATTCTGTGAGCTGGGCATTTTCATTATACTTATTAAACCTTTTTAAAAAAATCACATATAGAAATTAATAAACGAATTATTGTGTCATATACGATGTACACAATAGAAGTGGTAACCATATTGTTGAGAATTGTACCATTAAGTGTAGCCCATAAACCAACAGAATTATTTCAGTCAATCTTATGCAACTTAAAGGGTGAAATGACAAAAAGTGAAAATTCAGATATCATATTTAAAATAAATTGTACACACTACGATAAGTTTTACATCGAACAAAATGGTTGCTCAGTTCATCTTAGTCACTGTGAATACTAATTGGTTGTCAAATATATTTACATGAGATTAAATCAACTAACTCAGAAAAAGAAAATATATCTAAATTAATTTGCTGAGGTACAAATCTCTCCCGTCAATCATCTAAAAAGCAAATTATTGTAATACGCTTCTTGTTGTTATTTAAAAATGCGAAAACTTCAACAAAAGGAGAGCTTCTTTTGCTAGAATCACTACTCCTTCTCTACAAATGTCTTTGATAGATGAAATGAAATTTGAGATGCATACAAGAAAAAAACAATTGCAAAAACATACCAGTTCCTTTAGGATTCATCCAAGGATAAACAACTACATTGGATTCATTTGAATTACCACCTTGACGTAATGATTGTCCAATACAATCATTACTATTATCATTCAATGTAGAATGATTATTACTATTATTAATATTGTCCAAAGATGAATTCATTAACATATTAGTAGAATTGTTCAAATATGATTGATTCTCTGAATTCACTAATGATCGAAATACTGTACTACCAAATGATGATGATCCATTTAATAAGGCATGATAATTTGTATCATGTAATGTTAAATTTCCATTTAGTTTCATTGAATCATTCATACTTAACTGATTATGCATTGTACGTGAATTGAAATTCAATGTATTTGTTAAAGAATAAGGATTTTGTGTGTTGAAAGTTGATATATCATATAGATGAGATCGTGAATCGTTACCATTATTAGTAGTACTGTTATTGTTACTATCGTTAGTAGTATTCAATTGAAATGAATTATTATTTGAATGACGAGTCATTAATGAATTTGATTGAATTGTTGGATGTATAAAATTAGTTCCATTGAAAGGATTTAATAAACCATTTGGATATGATTTCAATTGATTTGAAGTAGGATATTTTTGTTCTGTATCAGAGTATATAAGTCGTTGTTGGTCATCATATGATAAATGTATATTATTACTATTATTATTATTATTACCACTACTATTGCTATCATTATTACTTCCATTAGTATTATTATTAGTAGTAGTAATAGTAGAACCGTTATATTTTAATTCATTAGACATAAAAAAATTCTTCCCTGTAAATGATTCAAGTGAGTTAATATCACGATGTATTAACTTAGAACTATTATTTAACTGTTCCATGGTTAAATTTGGATTTAAATTGTTAATAGGTGAATGATTATTATTATTGACATTGGTGGCACCGCCAAGTTGACTAACAAGAGCAGCGGCTGCATTCGCTGCTAATAGATAATCTAATTCTTTCGGTCCATTACGTCCATATACATTGGAGGCAGTAGAAGAGATCAAATCATTTGATTGTCGAATTAAATTTATATCTGAATAAAAATGTTGATTTATTATTCCTGTATTCATACTATTATTATTAGTATTATTGTTTAGACTTGTTGCAATTGTCGGTGATGGTGAAGAACCAACTGGTGAATGGTCATTTGTTACGGCACAATTAAGACGTAAACGTGTTGGCTTAGATGATATTTCTTCATTATGTGTTATGGTTATTGCATTTGTGACAGTTGGTGACTGAACTGTAGCATATCCTACTTTCATATTACAATCAAGATTAGTTTGTCCCCAATCTTGATTACCAACTTTATTACGTCTTAGTCCTAATTGTCTTGACAATGAAAAATTACGTTCACCAGGTGATGAATTAATATTATTGATTGCATCAGAACAGTTTGTTGAATCATTATTACTTTTGTTACTAGTTGACGTTGTCGGTGATATAATTGACGGTAAACGTAATTCATGTAAATGTTGTGATTGCGTCAATTGTGTTTGTTGTTGTTGTTGCTGTTGATGATGATGAGAAGGAAGAGGAGGAGGATAATGATGTTGCGGTTGTGACAATTGTTGTTGTTGTTGTTGTTGATGGGCTAACTGTTGATTCTGTGAATAATTTGTTAATTGTGAATTAAGAACTGGACCATTAACAAGACGTGTATCAACTCGTGTACCATAATAATTTGGTTGCATTGTTAACATAGCTCACAGTTGAAAAATATGAATAGAACTGTTTGTTTGTATTGAAAGATGATTGATAGTAGAAAAAAATTAGTTACCAATACTGATGGTAATTATTTGTATATGATGTACTGGATTCCTCTAATCACAAAAAAAAATCCAGGCAATGAATTAATAATTGAGTAATCACGTGTATAAAGCTTTATGACACTGAACGTTATAATCTAAGCTTTAAATTTGAATAATAGTTTAATAATAATGATAATGATAGCTATAACAATTATAATGATAATTATTTAGTGTATGTTTATGGTTTAATTGGTTAGAAACTCTACAAATCAGATTTTTAATGTGACTAAATAAACTCTATAAGCGCTGTTTATGTATGTATATGCATATATGTGTGTAATTGTGTCTATTGATATCTGTACACTTATCTATCGGTATGTGTGTGTGTGCATGTGCGTAAGTCATACCTGATGCTAATATCATTTTTTTTATAGAAAACAAAAACTAAGTGAATGAAACAATAATCTAGCTTCTTCCCTAGTAGAAATTAGTATTTCGCACAATTAACCAATCACATTGTCGATACATTAAACCGTCTTTTACTCTTATCTGATTGGTTAAATAGAAGTTACCTTTTTCAAAATGAACAGGTAAGGAAACAAAATAGTTTAGTCAGATGAATACAGTAGATATAATATTTATTTTATTTTAAGAAGACTACATTTCACACATGTCTGTGAAACAAGAATTAAATACACCATTAACTTGGTGAAGAGAGAAGAAGAAAAAAAAGCAATTGCAGGGGTTATTACTTGTTATTGATTTTAAGCCGCCAAATACTTTTGATAAGCGGTATACTTCAAAGTTGAGAAACTTAAAGGTCATAAAATCATGAAATCTCTTATTTTTGGTAAGCAAAAAATAATTGCGTTTGCTCGTATCAATATAAATGCACACATACATATATATACACACGTACAAAGCATGTATATAAGATGATAGCATCAAAATATGGGTCGGCAATATATGAACTGTCAGAAATTTGAAATAACAAATTTATGGGTTAGGAATTTTGAAGCGAAATCTCTTTTTTTTGAATTATTGAGTAAATACCATGGGAAATGAATCGTTTCGTTTTGTTCATTTTTTGTTGATAATTTCGAATTGTGAACAATCATTGTAATAAGCTGTTGTGGTTGCTCTAACTCCATGCATTACGACGGAACTTTACATTTTTCAATTATACACGTTCTCTGAAGTTTTTATCTAAGTATATTCTGATTTCATTGTGTTACTGATGTACTAGAAATAAAAAAACATCCGTATTATCAGATCAAAGATTACAATTTCTTATAGGGAAGAAATTTAGGTTAATATTTTCCGAATAGGTTTTATCCTTTAATATAAATATTACAAGCTTTGTTTATAATTAATCTAACATTTAACATTAAATTGAAATGATCAGGATCTTTTTTATGTGTGTAATCGTTCTTTAAATTAAGGAACAAATGAAACATAAAATACGAAACGGAGCACAATTTATTTAAAGGGACATCACTTCATAGTGTTTATCATATTACTGAGGATAAATCCTCTATCTTTGTAACCATGATTGCATAGGTTCAATAAATTACAGAATTTTAGTTTTTTGAAATGTTTAGTCGAAATATGACTCAAGTAGCTATAGATATTAAAGATAAAACTGAAACGTACAAAGGTTTATAAATTTTCACAAGTAAATATCTAAAATTCATATACATTGGTTGTTTGAATCCAACCACTTATGTTTAAGACTGCAACTGATCTGCCTCTTGTACGGATTATCTCGATGCAGGAATGCAGATACATCTAACAGATGAGTCCCGAACAAAACGAAATGCATGTCCTGGATTACACCGCTAGGCACCATCCATCTTTGCTTAAGTATCTAAAATTTTTTAAAAGAAATACAAGTTCGAACACTGATTATTACGTTATAACAATAGTTAACTGTAGTTAGAAATGAGGATCGTTGAAATTGGACATGGAAACTTGAAGACCATAAGCAAGGAATAATGGACAACTGGGGGATTTTTAAGATTGAATGTTGTGGATCAGTTTATTATTTCTGGATCACTTAATGGCATCTGAATAGAGACAAGTAGTAGGCACTAAATGTATAGAGTTTTCCACGAAATCTACCTTCTTTTTCAAACTACTTAAGTTTGTTAAGCGTGTTAGAAACCATCCACTAGTAAATGCGTTAGTGTATGAATCATACTGAATTTGTGAAGAAAAATATTTCCGAATCAACTATCGGTTTTAAAGAATTTTAACCTAAATTTGAGTGGTAATCGTAATTTTTTGCCAGGAGTGTTTCACTATCCTGAAATGAAGTAATTGTCATCTTCATATTAAAAACAGGGGTGTACATCATCTATGCAACGACTATAATGGGATAAATCTACATTCGATTGCATCCAAACTACTGGCTTCGGTCACGTACCTCAAGTTGTCCAAACCTATAGATGGTTGACTTGCTAGGAGAGAGCTGTTTTTCGTTCAGGTCACGAATGCATTGATCGTATTTTCAGACCTCACTAAATGTTAGAGAACTGTCATATTTATTAAAGGTCAACAGTCGTTGTTCTTCGTGATTGTTGATCAGCATGTGATTTGTTGAACAGTACTGTCTTTTGGGACTGTCTGTTGAAGAATAATGTGCATGAAAAGTTTATTAGTATCTCGAAACCTCCATATAAAGACACATAAGGCATAATGAGAACATACATTCGCTTCCCTCCATTGTTTCATTGCAGCAGTGGAGTTAAGCACAGTTGTCTAATCTCACCAATTCTCTTCAACCTAGCCATCGATTACGTTCTGAGAATAATTCATATGGAAGTAGGTAGTGGTGGTGTGGATCTGTTACCTGGAGAGTGACTTTTCGATCTTGTGTATGTGATGATACTTGGGCTATACAATCCGTACTTAATCAGTCGATAATCAATGTTTTTAAGTGTGACATGCATTTCGCACTTCTAAACATGAAGTATTTTCACATAATTAGCAGGAGCCTTTGGCTACTCTCACTCGTTTTGATGAGACGTTAGAACTAGAAAAGAAGTTCGTTTATATAGGTAGCCGTATGAGTGTTGGTGGTGTGGTGTCACGTGAAATCAATCGATGTTTAGTGAAAGTCAGAGCAGCTTATGTCAACGTGGGCCACCTTTGGTGGATTCATGATGTCAATATGGCCGTAAAAGGTCGAATTTACATAGCGTCGACCAGAGTGGTTTTACTTTAAGCTCATGATAACTGGCCTCTCCTAGTTGAGGATGTTCGGAAACTCTTTGAGTCCGACTTCTGCAGTCTCCTTAGAATTACTGAAATCCAGTGGCAACATCATGTACGTAGTACGGAGTTGCGGCAACGTGTGTTCGGGCACAGTGGCAATATTTCAATTTGAGTCTTTACCTTGAAACACCAACGTTGATGCCTTTGAAATGTTCTAGGAATGTCGTCCTAGTGAATTCCATTTTGTACATTATTTGCCGACACTGGGACTGGTTGGAAGAGAGTGAGAGGTGGTCATTTTAATAAACGTTGTTGGGGTATGAAAAAAGCTGTACAGGGCTGGCATCTGTCTGTCACTCATGAACTCCTGGTTGGGTTCCTAGGGATGTTGAAACCTAGTGGCTTAAGATGTGACTCGGAATAGAATCAAGTGGCAGTCTTGCTATAGTTTTAGTTTTACACATTCCGTAAAGGTTAGTAGAACTCTCTTAAGTGAGATAAGTTTTCCTGATTATATTTTTATTAGTAATATTTCAATTACTATTCTTTTTAACTTACTTTTATTCACTTATTTATGATTATACCTCCTTCCCTCCTACTTCTATCTCGTGATAATCTAATTTCTAGATTTATAAAGGAGAAATTCATTTTTGCTATTAAATTCTACCAGTAATTATATCCATTAAATAAAGGTTTATTTTTAAACTATTAGCTTTTGATATAAATTTTACACAGTCACGAAAAATGGTATTTCCATCATAAGGTAAAATTGGTAAGAAATTCAATCAAAATCTTGAAAGTTAGCTATATTTTAACTTTGCCTAACACCATTGAACATTACGTATTCATGATCTTAAGTAAGGTTGTACACAGATAATTGGTTAGGTTTATAATGAACTTACCAGTAAAATCCTAGTGAGAATTTATCATATGTAAATTTAGATAAGTCAGAAGAGATAATAACTTCTCAAAGATGGAGATAACAAAATGACAAAAACGTGAAATATGGATAGTTGGTTTCATTACTTCATTCCTTACGCCTGTTATCTCTCGTGGAGGAGTATAGGCCGCCTACCAGCACTCATCATTCAACCATGTCCTGGGCAATCCTTTACAATCCTTTCCAACTGCTAGTCATCCTATACATTTCTGCTTTCAATTCCTGACGTAGTGTGTTCTTCGGCCTTCTTTTCCGTTTCCCTTCAGGATTCCAAGTCAGCGCTTGTCTCGTGATGCAGTTTGGTGATTTCCGTAATGTATGTCCTATCCACTTCCAACGTCTTTTCCTAGTTTCTTCCTCAGCTGGAAACTGGTTTGTTCTCCCACACAGAAGGCTGTTATTGATGGTATCCAGCCATCGGACATTAAGCATCTTACATAGACAACTGTTTATAAATACTTGTACATTTTTATGATGGTTGCGGTAATTCTCCACGTTTCAGCTCCGTACAGTAGAACTGCCTTGACGTTGGTATTGAAGATTCTGACTTTGACATTGGTTGACAGTTGTTTTGAGTTCCATATGTTCCTCAACTGTAGAAATGCGGCCATTGCTTTTCTAATCCTCGACTTTACATCTGCATCTGATCCTCCTTGTTCATGATGCGGACCAAGTACGTGAAAGATTCCACATCTTCCAGAGCTTATTCATCAAGTGAGATTCTGTTGGTGTCCTCCGTGTTGTATTTTAGGATCTCGCTTTTTCCCTTGTGTATGTTGAGGCCTACCAGTGCAGACAAAGACTTCTGCTACACTAGTTGTCTTCATCTGCATTTGTTCGTGTGCATGGGGGTAGGAGAGCTAGGTCATCTGCGAAGTCCAAATCTTTTAGTTGAATCCGAGCTGTCCATTGTATTCCGTGCTTTCCCTCAGATGTCGAGATCTTCATAACACAGTCAACCACCCGAAGAAAGAGGAAGGTTGAGAGTAGACAGTTTTGTCTGACTCCGGTCCTTAATTTGATTGTATCTGTCAGTGTGATCCAGTTAGACCCATGAAGCTTTGTGCATGCGTTTGTGAGGGAATATTGTGCCATCTATAACCAATTCGTTGTATGCACATAGGTTTGCAAG